ACACAGCCGTAACACACCCAGAAAAATATCATTTTAAGGTCAGTCTTAGTTAAGTTACATCACTTTTTTTTTTAAATAAAATAAAATAAGGGTAAGATGACTTTCTGTAATTATAAAGCCCATTTCCATAAGAGGTAATTAAGACAAGGACAGACAATCAGCAGACAGGAAGGAGGTCATGCATAGAGGTAGATGTGATTTAGCTGGGGATGAGTATTAATCCCAGCTTCCTATTAATCCACCTTGCTGTCTGGGAATAATAGACCTATCAGCAAAAGGCTGCTGCGCGCTATTATTAGCCAAACAATAAGTAAGCCAGGATTAATAGACCCATTCCTTTCTTTATACACCTGTGCATGAGACATTTGTTTACACAGATGCCCAAAAAGGGGGGAGTTAAGCTGGCTGTGTGTGCACAAGGAGTGCGTGTGTGTGTGTGTGTGTGTGTGTGTGTGTGTGTGTGTGTGTGTGTGTGTGTGTGTGTGTGTGTGTGTGTGCTTAATAGAGAGAGAGAGAAAGCAGAAGCATGTGTGGCCCTGTGTGTGTGAAAGTATGGGAAAAATGAAAAGAGACAGCGGGAGTCTGGGGAGGAGGGTGTCTCCCGGCTGATAAAGGAGCTTATGAAGCTGCACAGCATGACACACAGATACACATATGCGCACACACAGATACCCACAGAACAGCGTGACATGACACTGATAACAGCTGAGATAGATTTGACCCTTCTAAAAACAGTCTGAGGGGGGAAAGAATGGGACGCCGGCTGAACAAAAACACTCCAGTCCCAATTAGAAGAAGACAGTTCATGAATCTGTTTCATGATTAGAGATTTTTTCTTCACCTTTCTCGACAGTCTTTCATTCAGTCCACTACAAAGTTGGTGGGTACACTCCCAGGGATGCTGGTAAGCACACTGAATAGTCTGATGTCATTCAAATTACAGTCATTCTCACATATTGGTTAAAAGCGTTCTCTGTCACTACCATTCCAGCTACAGCGACTGCTGCCTGCTCCACTCTGTGTGTAGGGGGAGGGGCACATGGCACCTTTGTGAGGACAGATAGCCACAATACTGCATTCCCGAGTCTCTCATCCCTAGGTTTAACCACTAACCCCAATCACTAAGCACAATCATAAACATTTAATTCAACCTATTTATACAGCACCAAATCACAACAGCAGTCATCTCAAGTGGATCACCTATGAGTAAGGAAGGATAATCTCCCTTTTAAGAGGAAGAAACCTCCACTGCGACCAGCTGGGGATAGAGGAAGACAGGACAAAAGACACATTGTGGAAGAGAAGACGAGTTATTATTAATAACCATATGCTCTGTCAAAAAGAAAAGTTTAAGCTGAATCTTAAAAGTAGAGAGGGTGTCCGTCTTTTAACTCCAAATTGGGAGCTGGACCCACCTGGAAGCTGAAGGCTCTGCCTCCCATTCTACTTTTAAATATCCTAGGAACCACAAGTAAGCCTGTAGTCTGAGCAAGAAGCGGTCTGTTGGAGTGATATGGTACTGTAGGGTCTTTAAGATAAGATGGACCCTGATTATTCATGTGAGGAGAAGGATTTTAAATGTGATTCTGGATTTACAAGAGAGCCAATGAAGAGAAGCTAGTATTAGGGAAATATGCTCTCTCTTTATAGTCCCTGTCTGTACTCTTGGTGCAGCATTTTGGATCAACTGAAAGCTTCTCAGGGAGTTTTCAGGAACACTTAATAATAAAGAATTACAGTAGTCATTAGTTTGTAAGATTTTTAGAGCTGAGTACAGTGAATTTATCCTTATAACTTCTTATGACATCAACTTCTGAAATGCCTTGGGGGCAACTGTCAACTGTAGCTGCAAAAACAGCAAAAATAAAAAAAATCAATTTCGGGAGCTCCAAAGACTGCAATTCCTCTAGTAGCCACTTGAGGCTGTTTTCAAAAGTGAGTCAAACCCAAAGACTCCCATGCTGAAATGCATAACTTCAAAAAGCATCACCCCAGCATGTTTACAGCCTGGTACAAAAACTGTTTTGGCCTCCATGTAAATAAATATTTCGAGTTTTCTCCTATGATACTGTGGTTTACAATAACTAGAGGTGGGCGAACAATCCAAAAATCGATAGTAAGCATACCAACATCGGTATTGGTACTGATCGACACAATCATGTTGTAAAAGTGAAACTACAAATCACATTGATTTTGTGGTCATCAGTTTTGTTAGTTGATTTATTCAGAATTAGCAAAATGACAGTGACTCATCAAATAAGTCGCAACACACTTATCCTCCCTATATAAGCTGCCTACACAAAGTTAAAAGTGTCAGTATCTGGTACTGGTATCAGGTCGATACCAAAACTTTTCAATAACTACTGCAATCACACGGGTAAGGCCTAAAGTTTAGGGCCTTGGTGGCTTTGATTGGCAGGTGGGCCAACACAGGATGCTGCAGCCTGTAGGCGCTCGCTAGGCCTCAATTCCACTATTTCCAGTCAGTGACCTGGATCTCCCCACTGTGTTTTTCTTGAATTTTCTGTGTGGTATAGCCCACCCAAGAAGTTTTCTGTTGTATAGAGTGAAATTCTAGTATTTTATTTGTCTGTTGCTTAGCACTAATAATCAGATATGGGTGTCTGTGGGCTGGCTGTGTCCACTTTTATACAGAAATAAGAAGCACCTGCTCTGAACACACCCCTCATCTGCCAAATGTAACAGGAATTTATGCATCACTGAAACATTTACACCAATCTTTGACTTTTTAATGTTTTGCTGTCTTCCAGTTCTTCATCTGTGAATTAGTGAGCTCGTGTTACAAACATGTAATCCTAGAAAGCATTTCATTTGAAACTGATTTGGCACATCTGTTAAAATATATCACGTGCAGTCAGGGTAAAAGGCAATGAGCGGAAATTAGCAGCGCTGCACATTGGTCGGTAATGTTCAGCGTTATATGCACGCTGTCCATATTTGGTCCACAGTAGTAGACCAGCATTGCCTGAAACCATTTTAAGCGAAATGAGTGCAGATTTAGCAGCAGAGACATGGTTTCCTGTGCCAGGGATCAGTTCACATTTCATTGTTCAAGGCTCTTAGAAAGAGATAAGCCTCAGTGAAAAGGTTACAAGGTCAGGAGAAAAAAACCTGCTGAAATATGTACCACGAGTAAATATCTGTCTAGACCTACAAATAAATCACGTTTTTAAATGATGTCTGCAGATTGATACACTATTTAGTGTATGTAAGCGATAACACATTGGTTCAGTTAAGGGAAATTTAGCATTATTGAGACATGCAAAGTTTTCATTTAGTCTACTCTAAGTGATCTTCCAAAACTGCAAATATGAAAAACTACATGTGCTGCACCCCTGGAAGGCTGTACCATCCTCAGCTTGCTTAATTTGTACTTAAAAGTACATTTAACCTTAGCAAATTGTCCATAATATAGCTGTGCTTTTTATATGCTACGTGGTTTTAGTCTGTTCAGAACTTAATTAATACATGGATGGCTTTCATCTTTGAGATCTCATCCGTGGGATTTTTTTCATAATGAAAAATCCTACTTTCTCTCCGTGCCCTCGAGAATGGGTGCGGGACTTAGCCTCAACTCAATTAGTTCAAACCAATGACATTTTTTGTATTGGACCAATACCAAGTAACTATAGGGCCAATGTTGCATACCAATACCAAAGCAATATTAATACTTTTAACATGTAAAGGTAGGTTATGTAGGGGAAAGCAGTGCATCATTATTTATGAGATGATCGAAATTAATTTGTAAATTCTGAACACTAAATCACTGTATGTTTTTACTTTTCACAATAATAGGTTAATATAATAAAACACACCTTTTACCTTTTCAAGTAGTTGGACACTGTTTTTTTCAACAAAAAAAACCAACTTTTATTTCATATAATTCAGTGGGCCACATACTGAACTTAGCAGATAGAAACAAAGTATTGAGTTGCGCTAGCATCGATCTGATATCAGTACCAGCCTCGAGATCCGATGCTATTTGGATCCGCCCACACCTGCTTGTCCACACCTGGATTAATGGGAGACAGCTCAGGTCGAGTTCAGGTGTTTTCGTTTGGATTTCTACAGCATGTGTATCTTATGTGTAGCATTTTTAGTTCCTGAAGTCGATTGTACATTGGAGGAATTATTCAAGTGAGTGATATTTGTTTCAGGTATTGCCTTTGTTTTTCATTTGCTTTAAAGCCTCCCAATCATGTGTATCAGTCAGCTGAGTGGGCACCCTATAAAAAGGCATTTAAGTTAATACATTGTACCCTATTTCCTTAAACTGCTGTGCTAATCCTGAAGCTTTCTGAGGGATGCAGCTACAACAACGCCATTCTTTTACACGAACAAAGTCCGTTTCGTTGGGATTTTATTTTTTAAAAGTTCAAATACTGACATCTTCTGGTGAATCTTTGAAACTACACCATCTGTACGGTGTCCCCGAAAGCTCATTTCAAAAGCTCATTGCGCTTTTAAATGCTGCCTTCACTGTGATTGTAGTTACAAGGCTGCGGCAATTCACGTGCAAGAGCCATAGTTTCCAGCTTCAGTTTGTAATGAAAGTACGTGGAGGGGGGTTTATAAATGCATTTGACTCGCCGCCTCTGCACTTGTTATCCACAAGTAACCACAAGTAAGCGCGTGACCCACAGTGGTCCCGCGCTGTGTCGACTACAGAAATTACGAGCGGTCCTTGAAAGCAGCCAGAGCATCAGCAGCAGTAAGACTAGCAGCATCTCATCCCACAACAGCGCCATCCTTCCACAGTGTGTTTTGGTGGAAGAGCCTTCACAGGGAAGAGTCTGGCAACGAAAGGGTTAAGGGGTTTACAGGGTTCAGATCGATGCCTCCTCTCCCACACGTCGCCATGAACAAATGAATTCGCGGGGAATTAAATATCAATTTCACAAAGGAGAGCGAGTCCTGTGCTTTGAACCCGACCCCACCAAGGCTAAAGTGTTGTATGACGCTAAGGTAAATGTTTTGCACAGAAAGATGCAGACTGGTCGGATTTTCGACTTTGTATAAACGTGTAATTCATTCTAAGGGGGAAGCAGCGTTAATTCTTTAAGGTGTGGGGCTCTAAATGTAGCTTGGGATGGCTGCTTAGGCCACAGGAAAATACGCTTGCACAAATAACGCCCAGGCTAGGTTCTCTTGATGTTTTTCGAGTGGTTTCCGGGTGTGTTTGATTAGCTGTGTGTCGCTCGCGGGTCACAATTTAGAAAAAAAAAGTCAACACAACCTTGACGTTTTGTAATGTTACCGGTTTGTTTGTGTGGAGGAGGCTGCTGAAAGGGGAATTTCACATGAAAATTCTGTTGCAGTCAGTTAGCATTAGAAGCATCTTTAAAAAGCAGTAAGGGAGTTATTACCCGGGCGGCTTGCCGTGCAAAGCAGATTAATGTCAACACACCAACCAACAAGCGCACCACGACAGCAGGGCTGCTAACTTTGCACACACAGGTGTCTGCCTATTTCAGTTTAGTTGTTTGCTGGCTTTTTTTTTTTAAGCGGGCTAAAATTGTCCAGCAGACTGGTGGCTATTCTGCTGCCTGACTAGCTGGTAAGCTAACGCTCCAAGAAAGCTACAGTCTTTACTCCACTCTAGCATGGCTGTTGCTAACCTGCGCTAGCTAGTGGTTAGCGTAAACACTTATTTGCAGTTGTCTTAGTATATTATATTAAATGATCATTCTTAGTGTCAGAATGTAGCTGATTTACGTGGATATTTTTTTATCCTGATAAACCTTTAAGTATTTAGCTTTAGTTATAAGTTGGGTAATCACTGTTTTATTATGAGAGGTTCAAGGGTAAAGGGTTTATCTACACTTGTTTGTACTTTCTATGGTCTATAATCCTTTCATAGCTTTATGATTGATACTGATTGCATTAACATCAAGATTTTGCTGAGTCTAGATGTTGCAAGTGTCAAATTCTGATTTGCAAAGTCAGAGTAACAAGTGCAAGAGATTTTTTTTAATTATAATAGACTGAGTATTACGCATAACTTAGCTTCATATGCAGGTAATAACTAAGCAAATGGAGTTTTTGCATCATGTCTTGGGGTGTGATAGTATTCTCATATATTGCGTGGCGGTATCTGGTGTGCCTGTATCGCTACAATATCAATATTTTGTTAAATAAATTAAAATACCCTGGGAAAAGAACAAGAGTACACCACCATCCGGTTATGTTGTTAGCCAATTTAATGTAAGTTAACAAACAAAACAACCAACACTGGACACACTTTGCTTGCTCTGAATTAGGAGTCAAGCTAACGGCTCAGTCACACAAGTAAAACTAAGACAGAAATCTCTTTACAGCTATAATAATAGTGGTTGCTGATGATTGTATTGTATTTTTTTACATTCTGCAAGCGCAACTTATGGTGACTAAATGGTTGCTCAGAGCTTGAGGATGTTGCGCTCGGGGCCACTTTTGATCTGAAGGTCGCCTGAATGCCAATGCCGTGCCACCTGCAGACCACAACAATGTACACTGTGCTTGCCACAAATAAGTGATACAAAATCTCTTTGTTGGTCTGCTAGTTATGCTAATATGCAAATTCCTTATTTTTCTTCTTGTACTTGAACCCTTTATTGATTATTGACCCTTTATTAAAACTGGAAATGAATGATTACCCCAGAAAATGGTGGTGTTGGGTACTTGCTAAGATATGAATAGATGTTTAGCAGGACTGCGCTAACTGTGTGTTCATGTTGCAGGTCCTTGATGTCTTGATAGGTACAGATGAACATGGAAGACGAATCCCGAAGTACCTGATTCATTTCAATGGTTGGAACAGAAGGTAAAGTTCTCCTTTCATCAGCTTTTGTATGAAGCAGTAATGTAGCACTGCTGTCAAGGCCACGCACTTTTAATTATTGATATATTTTGTATATATGGCTGTTTTTGTAGCTGGGATCGTTGGGCCGCAGAGGATCATGTCCTAAGGGACACCGAGGAAAACCGAAAATTACAACGTAAACTGGCTCGCAAAGCTCTAGGTCGCATGTAAGTTCACGTTCTAATCGTCTACTGATGATGATCAGCAATTACATGATGATGAAGTTCTGAAAAATTTTGATTTAAAAAGTCCAGTGTGGTGTATTTCATTTCATTGCCTGCAAGTTTTGGATTTGACCTTTTGGAATGTCTGTCTGTAGAAAAGTCTGAGACAGTTTTTTTTTTTTTTCTTTTTGTTTCTCTGTGATAGGAAGAGAAAGGGATGGGTAAAGAGGCGCCGTCGTCAGTCTGGTACTAAATCTTCTCTGAAGACTCTCCCAAAGGAGGACGACAGCGATGACGCGTGTGAGGAATCTCTCTGCATCTCTTTGTCTTTTGCTCCCCGTCTCCCTCAGCAATCAAGTTAAGCCCCACGTGTTCTTTCTCCAGGCTTAATTTCAACTTCGGAAAGCAGCGACGGGGACGATTCTGACCCCGAGTCTTCAAATAGCGGGGACAGCACCTTCTCTGAGGACATCAACAAAATGGTAAAAGTTGATCGGCACAGGTTCAAGGGCATGTAGATCACTAGTTGCATTGCAGGCCTTTAGATAACATCACTGTCAGGCTTAACTTGAAGTAAATGACCTTGATATGTGTAATATGTGGCTGATAAATTCAACTGTGGTTGTGGGAGGGATTTCTGGTCACGGAAAATCTACGCGATTGTTTTTATTGATCCTCCATTTGTACATTTGTTTTTGTATCAGAGGGTTGAGGCAGACGTGAATGTCAAGAGGGAATGTGAGGAGAAGGTCGTTCATGTTGACATCAACATCCCCGATGTTCTGAAGAAGAAACTGGAAGATGACTGCTTCTACATCAACAAGAGGAAGAAGGTGCGGGCAGCAGATCCTGGGCACACACCGCTTTCTAAAGCCTATATACAACATGTCAACAGCTCATTGGTTGTTTTTGTTCTACAAATCCATCATAATTTAGCTTGGGAGCTAAAGGACGAGTGGGCACGACTCAAAGATTTCTGACACTGGTTTGTGTTTGGAAAGAATTGTAGGATATGGAACTGAAGTGTGTCAGTATTTGACCTCGTGTTGTTTTTCCTCTCTCAGCTCGTGATGGTTCCCTGTCAGACAAACGTTGTGCACATCCTGGAGTCCTACGTCAAGCACTTTGCGATCAACAAAGCGTTCATGGCCAACGAGCGGTACAGGCGTCAGCAGAGCACCACGCAGAGCGGCAGTCCACAGCCAATCCCTCCAGAGAAAAGGTTAGTATTGATGTTCTTTAAACAGGAGGGGAAATAAGGCGATCCAAGCACGCAAACCATTTAGTCTTCATTTCCAAGTGTTCAATAGAAAATGGTTAATGGGAATTAAAACTGAAACATGCTCTAATACATACAAATTTGTCCACTCAGTGGCCACTTTATTAGGTACATATTTGATCCCCTTTTGCCTTCAGCGCTGCCTTAATTCGTCATGTAAAGATGGCATTTGGTTCTTGTTGATATGATGGCGTCACAGAGATGCTGCAGATTTGACCTTCTGAAAGTCATGGCAGAAATGGAGACTTGGATCAGACAGTAATCAATTCAATTTTATTTATATAGCGCCAACTCACAATAACAGTCGCTTCAAGACGCTTTATATTGTACAGTAGATCGTACAATCATAGATACAGAGAAAAACCCAACAATCATATGACCCCCTGTGATCAAGCACTTTGGCGACAGTGGGAGGAAAAACTCCCTTTTAACAGGAAGAAACCTCCGGCAGAACCAGGCTCAGGGAGGGGCGGGGCCATCTGCTGCAACCGGTTGGGGTGAGAGAAGGAAGACAGGATAAAGACATGCTGTGGAAGAGAGCCAGAGATTAATAACAGATATGATTCAATGCAGAGAGGTCTGTTAACACATACTGAGTGAGAAAGGTGACTGGAAAGGGAAAAACTCAATGAATCATGGGAATCCCCCAGCAGCCTAAGTCTATTGCAGCATAACTAAGGGAGGATTCAGGGTCACCTGGTCCAGCCCTAACTATATGCTTTAGCAAAAAGGAAAGTTTTAAGCCTAATCTTGAAAGTAGAGATAGTGTCTGTCTCTAGAATCCAAAATGGAAGCTCTTCCACAGAAGAGGGGCCTGAAAACTGAAGGCTCTGCCTCCCATTCTACTTTTAAATACTCTAGGAACAACAAGTAGGCCTGCAGAGCGAGAGCGAAGTGCTCTAATAGGGTGATATGGTACTACAAGGTCATTAAGATAAGATGGGGCCTGATTATTTAAGACCTTGTATGTGAGGAGCAGGATTTTGAATTCAATTCTGGATTTAACAGGAAGCCAATGAAGGGAAGCCAAAACAGGAGAAATATGCTCTCTCTTTCTAGTCCCTGTCAGGACTCTTGCTGCAGCATTTTGGATTAGCTGAAGGCTTTTCAGCGAGTATTTTGGACATCCTGATAATAATGAATTACAGTAGTCCAGCCTGGAAGTAATAAATGCATGAACTAGTTTTTCAGCGTCACTCTGAGACAGGATATTTGTAACTTGAGAGATGTTGTGCAAGTGGAAGAAAGCAGTCTTACATATTTGTTTAATATGTGCATTGAAGGACATCCCCCTCCCCCAACCAGATTTGGTGAGCCCTTCCAAACGTTAGCCTCAATTTTTTTTTCTTAGCTGACAGGAGTGGCACCAGGTGTAGTCCTCTGGACATGCAACATGTTAAAAATTGAAGTGGATGAGCTACAGAAGCAGAGATGCTCTTCTTTGCACCTTGGTTGCAATGAGTGGTTATTTATCTTTTCTTCTGACCGTTCTCTGTAAACCACAGTAACATTTATCTTGTTGAAATTATCCTGAAACAGGGCACTCGAATAGCTTCCCTTCACTGGGGCCTGTATAATCAACTTACACTTGTTACATCTCTTATTCCTTCCTGTTTTTTAATAAAGTGAGGAGCTGTGTAAGGAAATGGTCGATGGCCTGAGGATTACGTTTGACTTCACCTTACCCATGATCCTTCTCTACCCCTGTGAGCAAGCCCAGTTTAAGAAGGTCAGCTCCTCAAGGCTCTTCCTGGCCATGAATGAAAGCTCCCCCTGCTCAAGCAAGTAAGTGTGCTGCGATGAATCCCTTGCGCCGCATCAGAAAGCACTGCGTTCAACTGCTGTGCTGTTTATTTTATTTTTTATGCATTTGCCTTTGCTTCCAAAGCACCCAAAGAGAACGCAGTCCAAGCCCACTGGGACACAACCCGCCTACCCCTCAGTCCACAGACAGCCAGCCAGCCCTAAGTGACATCTCTACTACCACCCCCACCACTCCAGCCCCAACCCCAAAGCGCCGGCGCCACCCCGATATGGACTGCATTTCCTACCAGTCGCAGTCACTGAGGCGCTCTACCAGGAACACGTCCGGAGGCGACCGTCCAGCTGAGGGAAGCAGCGGCGGTAATGAGTTTAAGTTCCTCCTGGATTTGATGTAGCTTTGTGTTTACACAAACTCAACTTAGAAATGCAACATATGTCATGATATAGGTGGAGGCAGCGCCACGGCGTCACCGCAGCTCAAACGGCGAGTGGTCGACACCTCATCGCAGCCCAAGTTCTTCCTTAACCTTGACAAAAGTAAGCTCCGCGTCTCTGAAAGTACTCTGTGTGATTGTAAGTTTGTGAAAATCACTATCATGTCGTAGCTGCAAACCTCTTTGAAACCCTACAGCGTAACCTGACGTACACCTCCCCAAAATCCCCTGCAAGTCTAAATCAAATTTGACTCATGATTTAACTCATTAGAATCCTTAATTTGTCCACATAAGTAGACAAATGAGAACAGAATCAACTTTTGGAGATTTACTTTCCTGGATGATTGAGAATGCATCAAGACAGAAGTAGATAAGTGTTCACCTGGTTCTTCGTTCTTCTTTTAAACTTTCTGAATCAGGTTTTATGTGTAAAATGGCAATAGTAGCAACTCTCTGCTAAACGATTGCTCTACTAGGCTTGTATTGTCACAGGTCGCGGCATGCTCAAGTACCAAGGAATGAGACCAAGCATTTATCTGTAACCGTATTCTTTGATCTAGTCGCCTGTGCAGATAAAACCTCCCCAAAATTGACAAACACAGCTGCCGTCAAGAAATTTAAAAGCTATGTAATTCTAAACAAAATGAAAACCAACAAGAAGAGTTTGCAAGAGTAGAATGAGAGGTTTTGGCTCTCGGGCTACTGTGGAAGCAGCTCCCAGTTGGGTTCAACAACTCGCTCATAAGGGATCGTTGATGTTCTCTATCAAATTTGGTGTAGTTTGGAAACTTTGTCTTTCCCTCAGAGATGCAGATTCATTTATTTTTATGTTCTTAGGGGAATGTTTGCATAATTACACTCACTTCCAGAAGGGGGAGACATGAGCTACTCACTGCAGGCTTTATTGTAGCCATGTTTCCTGATTGGGTGAAGATCAGAATAACGCACTTCCTGTAAACGCACAGTGATTGTGTTTGAGTGCTAACTTTGATTTTGTAGTAAGCAGTTTAGCCCAGTAGGTGGTGTTATCTCACTTCTGTCCTCCCACGTTCTTCCCCTCTTCAAAGTCAGCGAGCTGCTCTCTGCCAATAAAGTTATTACAGTGAACTCAAGTTAAATGTAAAGAAACATTTTAGTTAACAAAATGAAAATAAAAAACAACTATTTTGTGAACTTTTTATTTTAGTTCGTTTTTAATGATTTTATTATTATTCCTAAATCGTACCTCTGACACACACTGTAATAATTAAAGACTAAAACTAGCAGTGAAATTAATTAAAAACTAAACATTTTCAAACTAAGCTGTAATAAGAAAATCCACACTGGAAACTAACTGAAACTAAACTGAATTTAACAGGTCCAAATGAAATGAAAACAATAACTAAGCTCTAACAGTTTGAATCGTTTCCTTTGAATGTGTTTGTTGATCATCGATAGTGTGCTGTGAAAATGTGAATAATTAACAGAATCAGCTGATCTGTCTTTCTGGCAGTGATCTTTCCTTTTATTTTTCCCGTCCCGCAGAGACTCCAGTGCACAGCGGCTCCTCTTCCCCGTTGCCTTTGACCCCAAGCAAAGAGCGCAGCGGCCCTTTCTACGGCCTGGAGAGCCGCAGAAACAACGAGCTCAATGAGGTGATGAAACTGCGTGATTATCTGGAATGTGGGAATTGCTCAAAGGCACTAGGATCATTTTATGTATTGTAATGTGCTGCTGTAGATTTGTATACACCACCCAGTTGACAGGAGGTTGAAACATTGCACTCACAACTCCACTAAACTGTGCTGTTCTGTTTGCTCTGCCCAGCAGGTTTTGAGTTGGAAGCTGACTCCTGATAACTACCCTCTGAATGACCAGCCTCCTCCGCCATCCTACCTGTATGGGTCACAGCACCTTTTGCGACTCTTCGGTCAGTTTCAGTCCAGACACGGTTTTTGCTACTAGCCTTTTCCCCACACTGAAACACTCCCATAATCCCTGTTTTTGGCTTTTAGTGAAGCTTCCTGAAATCCTGGGAAAAATGCAGCTGCCTGAGAGGAGTCTCCGAGCCCTGATTAAACATCTGGAACAGTTCCTCAGGTAATCAGTTGTTAGTTAGGAGACTTAGATCAGCAAACCTGATTCACGCTCATTTCTGCTTGGTTCACAAAAGCAAGAGTTTAAAAGGATGGACAAATCACTAGTACGCCCAAAATAACTGAGAATCACGAGAACAAAAAGGAAAAGGAGGAGCAAGTAAATGAGAACATGGAGGGGAAAGCTGGAGTGAGAGGGAGCACGTGCTGGAGGGAGGGAGATGAGTGGGCGTTACACAAGCGCGGGAGTCTAATCTTTAAATCCTCCCGAGTGATCTTCAGTTCAGCTGCTCCCAAACCTGAGGGGATTTAGGTCCTCTGGTTCTGTAATCAAACGCACGCAGTGCCGCCTTCTGCCATCAAGCAGCGCTGTGGAGCCAGTGAGCAGAGCTCGGCATGGAGCGGGAACAGATCTCTGCTCTGAGAGCCGGCGTTGCCTCTTTCATCACTTAAGTGGAAAGTGTTTATAAATGGATGTCATTAAAGGGTCGTCAGGGAGACGGTCAGTTTGTCAGGACCAGGTGAGGAGAGGGGGGCGTGCAGCAGGAAAGGATGGGATGCATCACTTTTTTTGTTGGTTTTTGTTTTTGTTTGTGCCCCTTTTCTTGTCTCAAACATCATTGTCATAGTGTGACTATTACACTATTACCTCAAGCATTAGCAGTGCCTCTTGGCAAGGCGATCCCATCAGCAGTGGGGTAAACATGTGCAGAAGGTTCTCTTAATTCACTCGACTGCTGATCGCTTCTTTCTTTTTCTGAAGGATCATCATTGTGTTAAAGGGCACGGAGCTGTTCCAGGATCAGTGTTGCTCTCTGATGTTTCCTTCATGTCTAATTAATATGTTCACCATGTTGCAGTTAGTGAGACCCTGAACACAAACTAACATAGTGGAATTTTTTTTTTTTCTTCTTCTGTTTTTATCTGTAATCAGCCTTGTGGCAGATTGTGCCGAGCGGGCAAAAACTGATTGATGTCGCAGGGACTGATGTGCATTGCATTCTGGGATTTGGCCACAGTTGATCTCTCACTCTCTCTTTCTCCGCTAGTGCGAATACGATTAAGTGTGGGGCGCACATGTGGAGCACGTCATGGCATATGTACCTGTGTCGTTTCTGATCCAGCGCCAACGATGACAACGAGGCCTAAATTTCTGGCACAAAAGAGGCCCCACACTTTTCAGAGCAACAAATAGCTGCTTTTTAATACTGATTTTATTCTTTTTATTTAAAGTTTTTAAGACAAAAGAGTCTTTGATTGCTTGTCACGCTTTCCCATCAATGTTCCATTAGTTTGTTTGTTGTTTCTTAAGTTCTGCTCTGATGAGGATAATTTGTTTGCATTGAGATTAGGAAGGCCGGTGGAGCTAAGATGAGATGGCAAGATTTAGAGGATTTGGCCGAGTGGCGGATACTAAGAAGATTCCAGATTAGTTTTCCCCGCTACTGATTAGATGGGAGGGTGGGGTGGGGGTGGGGGGATTTTTCACTCTTTCCCTCTCTGGCTGTCGGTCAGTTTTCTTCTTGGTCTTTCTGTCACATTGATTGGTTATAGGGATTGATTGGTGGGGTGTGGGCTTTGTCTCCAAAATGTCCACTCCAAGCTGAGGGCAGAAGGCGACAGAGTGTAGGATTTATGTGCAACACAGCCAGGGATATCTAGGAAAACACATGCTGATGTCAGCTAAGACTAGGGGTGGGTTTAAAAAATCGATTTTCTGATTCAAATCTATTTTAGCTTGAATAAAGCGATATCAATTCATTAAATCCTGAATGGATTTTTAAATGTATTTTGCTAGAAAAATGCCAGAATCTCAGGTTAAAGCTCACAAAACTATTTCACCAACAACCAAACAGCTATAACTGCAAATGAGAGCAGGTAAATTGATTCCTCACAAAGACGTAAACACAAAGTATGGATCGTTCACCCGATGACGCGTACATGCCATCGGGGCTGAAAGCCAACGTCTCACAGATTCTGATGTTGCAGGTTTTGTCACTCTGATTAAAATTCACTGAACTAGCAACAAAAGAAGATCCAAACTATGCTGCACGTTTGATAAACATTGTCATTAATTCCCTCTTACTTTGGCTGTTTTGCTTCCACCACGATAAAATCACACTTCCTGCGCAGCTCTCACTCTCTGTGTACTTCAAGAACAGTTTCCCATCTAAAATCTCTGTTTTCTGCATTATATGCTTGCTTATTGTACACCAGTCTACCTTTGTGTACAGCGCTGTTGGCCGCGGTTTTGTTTTGTTTTTTCAAAAATGACTTCCGACAAAGTCTCATTTCTGCTGTTCAATATTGAGGAAATGTAGACTTTTTAAATATCAAAACGGTTAGCTGTGTATATATTAAAACCTGTGCTCTGCTTCACTTCAGCAGCATCAGGTAATGTTGATTCATGGTTTTCTTCAGTTTGTGATCTACTGCAGAATATTTCTAAGGTTATCTGCTATAAAAATATTTTATCCTCAGTTACTTTGACACAAAGGCACATGCTATGATGCTTACACCTCTGAAGTCTCAAAGTGTCAGCTTTGTTTTTATACATATAAGAATATGGATATGTACTGATAAATGATCAGAATTATAATATTTCTGACTGAGTCAAAATTTGGACCTTGTAAATCAGAATTGAATCGATTATAGAAATCAGTGACTATACTGAGCCCTAGCCAACACCATCCTTGCACTGTTGTCGTGTAAGCCTGTCATGTCATCTTCATCTGAAAAAAAAAAAAAGGCTCATTCTGAGTATTTATTTGTTCTCCTTTTTGCTCTTTTTCAGGTTTCTGGCCGAGTTCCATGAGGATTTTTTTCCAGAGTCTGCATACGTGTCGGCATCTGAGGCTCACTACAGCATGAAACAACCGAGGCCGGTTTACTGAAGGAGACATGGGTCGCCCACTTCTTCCTTTGCTCGTCTCTTCCCTGACCTCTAACCACCCCCCTCAGCTTGTCTAGCGCTGACCTGTCTGAGCTCGTGTTTACTGGACTAAATGTCAGCTTTCTCTGGATTTCCGATTTCTTCGCCTCTGGCCCAACATTAGCTTTCTGGGTGTTGTACTGTGGAACATTTGCTTCTACTGTCCCCACTAACCCTCGCCTATGCTCTGCGTGTGGCAATGTCACGCGCGCGAGGCCACGCCTGTGCCGCTTTGCTGTGGTTCATGTCGAGGGCAGCTTTCTGTAACCCTTGGTAAGACTGAAATCTTAGAAAACTGCTAACCATCAAAGCCTCGCTTTCTTCACTCTTGTTCAGAGCTGCGACCACATTGCGGTGCTCTGCTTGCCTGCCTTCCCGATGAACCCATTTGGGATACTCGCAAGGGCTTTGTATGCAGATTTGCTTGTTTTTTTTGTTTGTTTGTTTTTTGTCTTTAAGCTTAGCCCCGTCCTATTTGTGGCAACGCTGCCACCAACCTTCTGTATACAGTTTCCCTGAGGCTGCATTAGGACTCTCTCTCCCTGTCCTCAATGTTTTCCTGCTTTCACTGAGCTGATCAAATTCACAGACTGTTCAATAACTTTGATTCAGGACTGATTTCTTTAGGTTCTTGACAGTTTTATGGTCTGTTCGGTGTCCTGAGGTCTGCTTTCCTGCTTTGTTTTGCATGTCTGATAACTGTCAGTCATCTGATTTTTATCGTTTCTTCCCTCCTGTCAGTAAGAATCGGGTGCAATTTGTCCTAAAGCTCATCTTCAGTTAACGGGTAGTCTTAATGCACAGTTCTTCTAGACCCTGAAGCTTTTTTTTTTTGGACCAGTTCAGTTTTGAATTTTATGTACAAATGTACAATTTTTAATGCAGCAAAAGAAACGACGTGCTTTACTCGTGAAATTGTGAACATGTAAATAAATGCTAAACGCCTGTTCATCAGCATGTTATATTTCTTTGTACACCACTGGCTCACTCCAATAATACCTCAGTTTGTTTTGGCCGCACACGCTATGTACAGGATGTCTGAATTTTTCTGTTTCATTTGAACGCTTTTGTTTCCTTCCAGCTCTGTTCATAGTTCAAATAAAGACGTTTTCTGAAGGCTTGCAGCTTATTTACATAAGCGCGAGGCAGCGAGACGACTTGGTGCCCCTGCCAGTTTTGTGTATGCGCTTCTTGCACCTTGGTGCCTTTTTCACTATAAAATGAATTAGCAGGAAGCATGCGAGTGGATTGTGATGGAGCACTTTAAATTTGGACACAGACAGGAGAATTTTATCAGCTGCCTCGACCTTGCTTGTCAGCACGCAGCAGATGATTTAAAATTGAGGCGGTGGAAGTTGCTGCCACAGCTTGACATTGTGATTCCGCCGTCTTTGTCAACAGGACTCTTCTGTCTCGCAGCAACTTAAAAGCGACCCTTATTGAAACTCCTGGTGCTCGTTTCTACTGTTTAAGTGTGGCACCACCGGCAGTCATCCAAGGTGATAAAATGACTGAGAGAATAAAATGACTACAGTAGCGGGAAGATATGTTTAACTGATGGTGTACGATACTGCCACAGCCAGCTGGACTGTTGGTCTGATCGATGTCTGCTGAATGTGGATGAGGCTCTGAGTGCTCGTCTCAAGAGGTGGCCATGTTTTTGGCACTTATTTAGATCGGGTTCTGAAACAGCACTTGATTTAATATGTAGGGAAAAGTTGGAAATACTTGTCATAGTGAAGTCAGGAATGTCACCACATCATTCAGTGGATTTTAGGAATGAGGTCAGAAGACTGTAGTCCGCAAGGCTTTTTGTCTTGGGATTGGAGTGAGCTTACAGGGGCCACTGTGTCTGTAAGAGCAGAAAAATTCCCATCAAGCCATTTTTTTTCTGCTTGTTAAATTCAGGATCACATCTGGGCTCTCACAGGGAGGAGATACAGGCGGGATGCACCCTGGAGGTAGCTGAAGGGTCTACTTCAACGGGGATGCGTGGGTTAGTAAGCCATGCCAAACCTAAAGTTTTTTTTTTTTTGTGTTACGAAACCAAACTAAGTCGCCGTGGTAACTTATCCTGAACACGTAACTTGCTCCTAGTTAGGAGCAAGTGAAAGATTGTAAATATAATGAAAACCTTGTGCTTCTACCTAGTCTGTTTTAAGTCCTGTGAATCTACACATTACACCCCTGTTGTGCTAATGTGCTTTTTTTATGTGCCTTATCAACATCACAAATGTCAGATTGTTGCTGGAATTTACATTCAGCTTGGGATAATTGTTTTGTTTTTTATCTGCCCTTCCACTGCTGATATTGAACATGGATTAGAAACCTGGTCGGGCTATTTATCACCAACAGCTGCTCAATCAATTAAAACAACAGACATATAATTTAAACATTTCAGTTTGCTTTAGTTTATCAGTGGATCAATGTCAACATTTCCTTTAGTCACCATTAATGTTTCAGAGCTGTAATCTGCAGCTCAGGGAGTGCATTCACTGTTACAAAAACACATTTTGATTAGTTTTTGTAACACTAATGTTTGAAGAAGCAGCAGCATGTTAGCACTTTACTGGTATGTATATTCTTTATAAACTTGGCACAAAAAGGAACACAAGCTTTAAGTCGCACTGTGGCACGAGCCAAAGCAGATCAGTCAAACACGGCATGCTTGTAGACACCAACTGACCGCTAAAAACAAGAGTCAATAGCAGAATACGCTGTTTGACAGAAGAGTGCTCAACTCTGCTGCTCAACCCACAAATCCATTTTTTTTTCTCACAAATGTGGAATTCCTATTAAAGTAATTATTAAATGAATAAGTGAAGTCCAAGTTGTATTGCTCTGGACCAACCAACACAACTCCAGTTTCTTTCTGATAATCAGTTTGATTACATTCTTGCAACATTATGGGGATAAAACTTTGAGGTGGATCTAATGCCAGCTAACAGCAGCTAACAGAGGCAAAAAACACACCGCATACTGAGAGAATAGCAAGACATCCTGAACAAGTCACCTCAGTATCGCTGTCATCAAACAGAAGTGTGACTCGTAACAGACTTCCTTCGCAAAGGAAAGGACATCTAGCGGCTTCTCCACCGGCATTTTGACAGCTGAGGTAAACACCAGACTGACAGCCTACACTTTTCAAAGATGGCTAAAAGAGACTAAAACATGTTTGTCCTACACTGGCCACCATAGCTAAGATTATGCACTCAAACTAGGAGGAGTAAGAAAACAGAATTAAGTTGACTGTCATACATCAGAAAAATGAGGTCTGGCAACTCTTGTTCTCTGGAAATTGTTAGCAAGTGTTGATGTCTTTGCTGAACCCACACAATCAATGGATGTAGCTAGATTAGCTGATAATTTGCCTTTCTTTATAGGAATAAGAGTGGTATTGATCCTTTCTTCTTTATCTCATACAAAGAAAATTGTTTCCTCTGTAATTGTTTTTGCTGTTATAAAGCAGAATATTAACATATTATTATTTAGACAAGTGAAAACACAAGCCTTATTTATTCTAATCTAAAGCTTTAGATATCTTTCTGATGAAAAAGTTTTATACATACATCATTTTTAGACTATTATTGTTATATAGATCTTTAGAAAACTGACAGTGTATATGCTTTCTCAGTACTTATCCTAGAAATGCTAAATATTGGGTGATTTAGGGTTTGGCTGATACAAATGTTTTTACCAGCCAAGTTTCTTCTTCTTGTGTAATCTACAGTTGCAAAACAACACGAGAGTTAAATAAAAATGAGAATTTGTTCGTCTCTTTGATACATTACACATCTTTACTGCCTACAGAGTTATGCTCTTTACTTCTAGTGCACCTATGGGAAACTGGCTATGCTGGCTTCCCCGTATCAGAGTTCTAATGGGTTTCAGTGGCGAACCTTAATTGTATTTGGACTGGGTCAGACTTCTTGTAATGAACCGCTTATCAGTGCAACCTGATACGGCACTCTCTGCCTGCTGCTATCACGTAGCCACAGAAGCCACCAGTTCAAGCATCTCAATTCGATTTCCCATCCATCGTTGTCTCTATCAGCTTACCACATGATTCAATTGTTAGCGGAGGAAATGGGGCATAATGAGATGTGAGCTATCACCTTGTAAGTGCTGCTGCCGGCACCTTTCACCTGAATGTGCTTCTTTTTTCTTTTTCCTTTTTCCATTTGGAAAAGCCAGCCTCTGCTTTTCCATCCCACTCTCCTATCTCTCTATCTCACTCCTTCTTATGTCCCCAAGTTTCTTTTCTTTTCTTCACTTCACATCTGTATCCTCGTCTCGTTTGTCTAATGTTCGCTTTGACAAGTCTTTTGACTTTCTGCTCATCTCTTCATTGACTTCAGTACTTAACTGCAGCCAGAGAGAAGACAGTGAGACGCTTTTGGCCAATAGGAGTTCGCGGAAGTATCTCTTTCTATTCTCTTATCTAATTTAGGAGAGCTTTCCACCACATTTCCACTTTTCACCCATTCCAAACCTTTGTCTTATTGACACATCATACATGATGCATACGTCTTCTCGCCAGCCGTTATCAAAGTCTTCCAGTTTTCCTCTTCATTCTCTTCTTTCTTGCTTCTCTCCATCCACCGCTTTCCATCTTCATTCTAGCGTCATGGATCTAAGGCACGCATTGAGAGGGGAGACGGTGGACATCAGCCCCTCTTTGTCCACCGTATCCTCTTGGACATCATTTGACATTAGCAGTGACATCACATCACTGAGCTCTGACCAAATCTTGACTCCAGTAACAGCTGAGAGCGGCTTCAAACCCTTCGAGGACTCGCTTCCAAAGAAGTCTTCTTCAGTCACGGCCTTGTGTAAAGTGCGAACTGTGGCGTGGAGAGAGACGTCTTTTCTTGGAAACGACGAGTAAGTACTTGACTGCAGTTAATGGATCAGGCAGTTTAGTCAGGCAACAGTTAAAAATGACTGAGAGGCAATTTCATGTTAAAGCTAGAAGAGCCAATTTGAACTATTTCACTGTATTTGTCATTGTTTAAGGAGAGTAGTGCTAATATAAGGAGATATATATATTGTACCATAACTAGTGGAGTGATTTGTCACGTTTTTAAATATGGGACATGATGTAGGGCTGAAAAATGTTAGCAACTTTGCTTTATGACAATATCAGTACACTAATATGTGATTTTAGCATGTTTCATCTGCATTTATATAGCTGTAGACTGTAATGGAAAGTCACGATGATGACCAAGGTTAGAACCCACGGCTTTGTTTTAGAAATGTCACACCAGACCAAAGTCGTCAACCTTGACTCGTAAACCGTTGTACCATTTCAGGCCATCACTCTGAGATACGTCATCACATTTTATTCCATCCAGTGATTTTGCAATGTCTATTTATTAGACTGAAATTAATTATACTCTTACATATGACAACTTTGATTAAAAACACAAGGTCTAATCAATGTTTTTTCCTCGAGGCCAGCAATATCAATACGTGGTTGTGTATTTTTTTCAGCTTGAGATGGGATTTCATTGACATTTTCATAAAACCATTGCACCAGTTGATTGAATGTTTAAAAAAAAAAGAGGTTTTCTTTGGTAAGGCAAGGACCAAATAACAGTAACGACGCAGGAGAGAAGAGGCTCAGACCAATAGCACACGGTCACAAGTGTGTGTGTGTGTGTGTGTGTGTGTGTGTGTGTGTGTGAGAGAGAGTCTTTGCTTTCAGCCCACAGTGGCAATCATGAGCTGTTTCATCTGGCTTTAATCACGAGCGGTTCTATAATGGGAGTCTGATTCCCAGTAGCAGGACTGCGAGAGCAGATAAAATAAACCCTGCATTACTTCGGATAGAAACCATAAATCACCTTTTCTCCTTGAAATCTACTGAGAGTCTCTGGCAAGTAAGAAAAAACCAGGGTGTTGTGCATCAAGTGTTACTTTTCTTATTCCTTTCTTGTTTCACTTCCTTCTTTCCACTCTCCATCACTCCGCCATGCCCTGGTATATATAATTAGCCTTCCACATGCAGACAAATGTCTGAACTTACTCACTGGCTGACACTCTTGCCGTGTCTTTAAATCACCCCAAACTCCCCGCAGAGTGTTCAGTATCTTTGCATGAAGACTGATTAAACT